AATCTTTTAACCTAACACTGACTATAATTCTATTGAATATTGAAACTGATATTACCTTATCCTAATTCCATGATAAGCCAAAAGCAAGGAAACTATGTTAGAGTATTCGTATCCAGCATTGAAATATTCGCGAATCACATCGTCAACTGCATTAAAAAGATTGAAATTTCTGATTAATAATGCTTGTTTGATGGACGATTTACAAAATACTACTTACTTTGCATATTCGAGGCTAATATGGCAGAAGGTAAGGCATCTACAGCGGCTAGAATGTTAATAAAAACTGCAGCGACTGCAGCAATGAAATAACACAGCGCCATGCTTGAACTACGACAAGGGGCCTGGAATTTATGTCCGCGGGAGCCTGGAGCCTAGCGACAACTCGGAAGCGACAACTCGGAAATTTCCAAGTTGTCGCGTCCGCGGGAGCCTGGAGCCTAGCGACAACTTGGAAGCGACAACTCGGAAGCGACAACTCGGAAATTTCCAAGTTGTCGCGTCCGCGAGAGCCTGAAACTAGCGACAACTTGGAAGCGACAACTTGGAAGCGACAACTCGGAATGATCCCCGGAGAAGGAAATCATTGACCCCTATCGGCTTCCGTACTATAGGACACTCGATTAGGGACGGGCCATTAGATATTTGAGGGGGTGGTTTGGGCAATAACCCGAAAAAATTCGAGCAAGGCTTGACAGAGAAAAACAAAATCGTGCACAGCAAGAGTGACAAAAAAAAATACTCGTGCAAGTGAATAATATTAGACTCACAGATGTGGACACATTTTACCCCAACAATTACATTTTTTAAAGTTTATTTCATTAATYATATTTTGCATTTAACAAACACTCTCTAGTATTACCTTTAAAAAACCCCAACACCCCATGTTGTCTGTCGCTTTGTATTAGCTGGTATAGAGTCGTCYATAATCTTTAAAATGTCATCTTCTTCAACACTTGCAAACTTGCCAGAGTCAGCCATTTTGATGACAGCCGTTGTGTGATAGCATGATGTATTCTCATTAGTGCATGGTCACTAGGTGATGACGTGACGTATCGCAAAATCACGTGATTGATTTAAGCCAATCRCGCGCATGGATWTAGTGAATTGAATGAAGATTAAATATCAAAACACAATACAAGTATATACAGGAAAAATAAGAATAAGTATATTTTAGTAAAAAAAGAAGAAAGAAAGAAAATGGAATCGCCTAAATATAAGTAGGTTAATCAAACAATGTCATATCAAAAATGTCGTAAAACCTCCGAAAATCGAAATATTTTCAACCAGGAAGTTAAGAGACGCGTCCTATTTATGTTAGAATAATATTATTTGAGAGAAAAAAATGCTGTGCGAACGACATGTTTTATACTTAGTTATGAGCCTGGGTTACCTGTGGTATAAAATTTAAAACACGCGGCTCGTAAATATTATTCAAACAAATCCAGGATAAAGATCTAACATAGAACACCTGTATCTAAGTTAAAAAAAGAAAGAGAGAAAGAGAGAAAAAGAAAGAATTTTTCAGACGTGCTCGTGTCGAGGGTCGAGCCTTCTGGATTGTAGGTCCCTAGGCCATTGGGATTGCTAAACTGGCCTTTGGGATTGCTAAATTAAAAGTCGCTGCATTTTATAACCGTGCCTGGACACGGTAATTAATCGCACAATTTTAATTGTTAAAACTCTATTTGCACAACAACAAAAAGTTTAACTTGCTAAAAGGCAATTTTTCAATTTATCTTGACGTTCTGTGAAAAAAAAAAACAGTAGAAAAAGCTGAAGATATACTAATTGAAAAAGCTGCAAGATATACTWATTAAATTTCGAAAGTTCCATACGAGCAGTTACTTTTACTGTTTTTCATGTTGTATTTACCGAGAGAAGAACAAGCGAAATGGACCGATGTTCTAGCCTGTACCTACTACTTTGACTATTTTTTCTCTCAGGCCAGTGGGCTGCCTAACAAATTTGAGGTCATTTTTTCATAATGCATACTTAAATGAAATGTGTATAAGGGACCGTTCATTAATTATGCCTKAGGGGGGGCTGGAGGAAAAGTAGGGTGGGCTTTCACGAACATCAAACAGACAATTAGGGGGGGAGGGGGGGTCTTTAGTGCATTTGCATTTTACATTTCTTATTAATGATCATTTTAAACAACAACTTTACTTTCTTTTTTATAGAGGTCTAATTACATAAGCATTCACCTTTTTTTTACTCCTTTTATATGTTTAAGATTAGCTATTTTGCATCGCTTTATAGATAGGGGGAGGGGTATTTTCCCTCAACGTCAGAAGGAGGGGGGTCTCGAAAAATATTGTGATAAAGTACGGGGGGCTGCGAATTTTCCCAAGGTTTTTTCGACTTTTCCTCCAAACCACCCTGAGGCATATTTAATGGACAGTCCCTAACTAAGTTGTGCATACTGCTCCCTAAACATGCTAACAATTTTGAGCTCAGGAAAGCAGTTATAAAGAAACGAATAGAAGAAAAGAAAAAGTCTTATTCTTCTGCCGATTTGTTGGTTTATTCAACATGCTATCTGTATCGGTTGACTCAGCCATGGTCATGCTGCTTTCTGCAAAAGAGAGTTGATAAAGCATTTTAGTAGTTGTAGGAAATGACGCCATAATGCAAATCGGCTCAGTATTCACTGGAAAAAATCGCGCTCCTCGAAGGTTGTAAATATAATGGAAAAAGTATGTAAATTTGATTTACACTATATTTACAAAGGTTGTAAATATCGTGTAACTGTCCAAAATGATGTAAATATCGTGTAAATTTGGATTTACGCGATATTTACATCGTTTGATTTTCATCATATTT